TGGACCAATATGTAAATTTAAAAAATCTCATAAAATTTAGATACCAAAACATAATTGTTAAATGATTTTACATTAAAATTAAATTTGGGTCTCAAAATGTAAAATGTACATTATAGTGACTAAGTTATAATTTAATTAAATTTGGGGTATCAAAATGTAAAATGTAAGAAGAAGTGAGGTTTAATATATACAAAGAAGCTTAAGTGAGGGTAGTAAAAGCTTAAGTGAGGGTAGTAAAGACTTACTATGTGCTGAGGTATCATTGGTTCTCTTATTAATAAAAGCTTAAGTGAGGGTAGTAAAGACTTACTATGTGCTGAGGTATCATGTGAAGAAGTTCGAGCTGCTCTATTTGATATGAGTCCCCTAAAGGCGCCTGGTCCTGATGGGTGGACTACGGGTTTCTTTCAGAAGCATTGGGGGCTGATTAGTGGTGATATCTGCGAGGGAATTCGAGAGTTCTTCAGAACTAAGACCTTACCTCGAGGTATGAACACAGCTTCTCTCACCCTAGCTCCTAAAACGTTAAATGCTGACAGAATGACTGCTTTTCGTCCTATTGCTTGCATCAATGTGATATATAAAATCATTGCTAAGGTGCTAGCAAATAGGATTCAGATTGCACTCCCCGAGGTGATTAGTAAGAATCACTCTGCGTTTGTAAAAGGAAGGAGTATTCTAGATAATATATTAATGGCGCAGGAGATAGTGCAGAATTACAATACAATAAGAATCTCTTCTCGGTGTGCGGTGAAAATTGATCTTCACAAAGCTTTTGATTCGGTTAATTGGGAGTATTTAGTCTGTGTGATGAGGCATATGGGTTTCCCGGCTGTGTTTATTGAGTGGATACAGGGTTGTCTTGGTTCTGCTTTCTTCAGTATCAGTTTGTATGGTTCTTTGTTTGGTTTCTTTCAAGCTAAGAAAGGTGTTAGGCAGGGGGACCCTCTTTCCCCCTACCTTTTCACTATAGCCATTGAACCATTATCGAGAATGTTGGATGTTGCTGCCAGCTCTAAACGGATTCCTTATCACCCTCAGTGTCGATCAATAGGTTTGACGCACCTCTGCTTTGCGGATGACCTATTGATTTTCACTGAGGGGTCAGCAGCTGCTTTGGTACAGATTAAGGGTTTGTTAAATGATTTCTATCTGCTCTCGGGCTTAAGATGTAATCCTCTGAAGTGCGAAGTTTTCTTTGGAGGGCAAGCACACTTATATAAGGCGAATGCTATTGAGTTGTCTGGATTTGCAGAAGGACATTTGCCTGTGAGATACTTAGGGCTCCCGTTAATTGCTGGTCGGTTGTCAACTAGGGAGTGTGAAGTGTTGGTGGACAGGTTAACGAGTAGAATTCGTTCATGGAAGGCTAGCAAGCTTTCTTATGCGGGAAGACTCCAACTGATTTCATCGGTGTTGTACTCTTTGGTGCAATACTGGATGAACATTTTCATTTTGCCTAAAAAGGTTTTAGACCTTATTCACAAGATCTGTTCAGATTTCTTATGGCATGGGGAAGGTACAGGGCGAGCGAAAGTTGCTTGGGATTTGGTTGCTCTGCCTAAACGAGAAGGAGGTATGGGTCTGAAAGATCTAGGAAGTTGGAACATGGCATGCATGGCTAGATTATTGTGGCTTATCTTGCTGCAAAGCGGTAGTTTTTGGGTTGCTTGGCTGCAGCAGCACAGACTGAAGGGGAGATCCATCTGGAGTCTGCCTCAATCTCAGTCTGGTTCGTGGATCTGGAGGAAGCTTCTCAAATCCAGAAGCTGGTTCCAATTTAGATTGGACACTGATGCAGAAGGCAGAGTCCTCTGGGAAGGAAACCCGATGCCACGATTCGTGGTGTAGAAGATTTGGGACTCAATCAGGCCTAAAGGCGCTCGTGTGGAGTGGTGGAAGCTGTTATGGAATAAACATGTTATTCCAAGAAACAGGGTGGTAGCTTGGTTAATAATTTTGAACAGGATTACAACGCGGGACAAGCTTAAGCAATGGGGCAAACTGTCTGATTCTGTGTGTGTTTTGTGTCAGGCAGAGGAGGAAACTCGTAGCCACTTATTCTGCAGATGTGCTTATACGTTGGCTTTTTATGCAGTAGTTTTTGATGTGCACAGGTGGCCGAATGACTGGGACAGCCTCTTGAGTTGGTTATGTCGAAGATGCAATAGAGAAGGCAGCAGTGGACTGATTTGGAGTGCGCTCTGGTGCTGGTGTGTGAGTGTTATTTGGAAGGAGCGATGTGCTCGAATGTACAGGGATGAGCAAAGATCGGTGGAGGAAACAAAGAGGCGATGGGTTATTGATTTTAATCTTTTTGTGATGGGCAGACCGGATTTTCGGTTAGAAATTTTGAAGATCCCCCAATTGAGTAGACTACTATATGCAGTAGAGGTAGTTTAAGAGTGGTTTCTGTTTATGGTTTGTAAGCAGATTGTAGAGCATTTGGCTCTTTGTTTTTGAGGGTCCTGTTTTATCAGGCTGAGCTTAATAAAAGTTTCGATAATTACCGAAAAAAAAAATATATATACAAAGAAGAAGTGAGATACTAAGTTGTAATTTATTAGGCAACAGTAACCTCACTTCTTCTTTATATATATTAAAATTAAATTTGGGTATCAAAATGTAAAATGTACATTATAGTGATTAAATTATAATTTAATTAAATTTGGGGTATCAAAATGTAAAATGTAAGAAGAAGTGAGGTACTAATAAGGTAATAGTAACCTCACTTCTTTATATATATTAATATGTTAAGGTAACCTCTTTTGGCTTAAGTTGTTTTGATACATATATATGTAGTGGAATAAGCATAATGAGGGCTTTGTTTGGTCCCTATTCCTTCCACTGACTTGTCCACCAATTTGAGGTTGGAATTTTGGAACCTTGAACCAGATTGGTTCTTTACTCTTTGCCTCCTCCCAATTTGAAAGTCCATTCAGAACCCACAATTTCTTTCACGCCTACCTTTATCGTTGAATCTTCCTGCAGCAGATAACACCAAAACGGAAGAAATCCCTCAAATCAGAATCTCTCATCCACTAGTTAGCCAAAAATTGAAGGGAGCAATGACAATCACACTAACGGATGATTCGTCTGGGCTAACATCATTAGATTGTTCGTTGCAAATTTTTAGGAGTTGGTTTAACGTATTGATATAATTGAACATGGGAAGAAGTTATCAACATACCAAGTTCACTGACTGAAAACATGCTGAATGACAATGACGAGCCAATGGCATCATTTTGGGTAGATGGTGAATCAGAAAATCTGGCAATCACCGTCACTGTTGCTGTTTGGGTGCAAGGAGAGAACACAGTTATTGATACTGACACTTGACTTAATTCAAAAATCTTCTTCCCCATTGCTTGCTTTGTTGGTTAGCTTTGAGCATTTATTAAACTAAAACAGTTCACGAGATGTTTAAGAGCACGTACACCTAATCCATTAATTAGCAACTGCCACATGAACCCAAAAAAAAAAGGACTTTGGATTTGTCTGATTCGTTGGTTCCATTACAACTATTTTCCTTTTCAACATTTATTACATCCCCAAAACCTAACCCCTGTCCCTTATTATTATCATCATCTATGATGCGCCCATAATAATTTTGATTTGACCACTCAAAACTGTAAACTCTTATAATATTTATTTATTCTACAAAATTCATCATAAACAATATGTTTTTTTTTAAAAAAAAACCGGATGCCATTAAAGAGGTAGCGTTTGTGCCTTATATTTAAACTAATCTAGGCAATATCACTTCAATTTAATCAAAATATTTATGTTTCGAACTACATAGAAAAAAGTATACTTTAGGTTCACATAGAGATGCTAGATGATCAGCAAAGTGAAGTCCGAAAGATGTAATGAGGGCGCATTAGTGATTTTTAACTTTATCGACAATATGAATCCAAAGATAAATATTATCACACCAAATCTATAATTACGTGAACTTAAGAGTTTGACAAATCTGGTTACTTGTTGTCTATATTGTCTCGTATGATATGCTAGCTGACACCATTTCTGTTTGATCGGTGATCGTGTGCATCGATCCATCATGCCTCCGGGATGGGATGATGTTCAATCCAGAATCCAAACTATATATATGATATAATGGTCTTCTGCATGTTAGCTGATTAAAAATTTCAGAGAAACTTGATAGATAGCTCCTCTCCACCAATCTACGGCCATTGACCATACTCTCTCATCTCATGGATGTGTACAATTGAATTGATTCTTTTTGTTGCAAGTTTGGGGGGGAGAAGAGAGAAGAGAAGAGGAGAGATGGATTGGTAGGCTGGCTGGCGGAAGAGATAAATGAGAAGATATTAAAAATAGATGACGATATTTCGTTGACTATCACTATCCTCCTCCCAACTGCACTTTTGCTTCTCTCAGTCCACTCTCACCATTCCCAATTTTTTATTGGCAAAGACTTTCTTTCTTTTTTACCGATAGAAGAAGAGATGGGAAAGCGTTTGAACCTTCATCCCACATCTATGAGACTATGAGAGGATTGAGAGCCTACTAATTAATCCCTTTTCGATCTTCCTCTTCTTCTTCTTCTTCTTCTTCTTCTTCAGCTCACCTGTTGCTATCAATATCATCCCACCCTCAATTAATAACAAGTAAACCAAACCACTAAATTCAACTAATCCGCTACTTGCAATTGCAATTGCATACAGCCCAGCCGCAATGCCAATGAGTTAGGTTGGGTTGGGTTTTTGTTCGTGGGTGCCATTTCAGGACATGCATTTATAATAAAACGAAAAACTTCAACGCCACCGACCCATCGCCATTCAATTCCATCTCTCTCTCTCACCCCAATCTATTGTAGGTAGTAGGTCAGTTCAGTTCAGTTTGCACGTCTCAACCATCTGGTTCTTTTTCCCCCCAACTTCAAATCTTTACCTCAGTCGCTTACTTGTATTGGTGGGAAGAACGTTGACATATATTATTGACCCTGTCTGTACAAGCTTAATTATAGCACACATTGATTCTACATGGCAAAAGGTCAAAACTTTCCACTTCCACAGTTGTTTCATGCATCTACAAATATTGACAGAGAGGGCAAAATTTGCGTGCTTTATAGTTTATACTCTGTCTGTCTGTATCAATTTGTTTACTCTTTTTTTTTTTTTTCTTCTCTTTTTTCATTCAATACTTGATTTTTGTCTTCTTCTTGTATTTACAACTTTGTTGTTTTGTTTTACATGGACGATCTCCATATCCTTCCTTCGAAAGAAATGATGATAATAGAGACATCATCGTGGTAGCGCCTACGATCTCCTTGCGGAATATCGAGCAGCTCATGGAAATCCATACCAGCTTTCTTGGCAGCGCGAAACAGGACCTCTTCGATCAAATGCTGAGCGGGGTCACCTTCAGGAAACGCAGACAGAAACGACTCCACCTCCGAGACGGCCTCTTCGTTGGTGAAGTACTGATACAGACCATCCGACGACAGAATCAAGAAGCGGTCTTTGGAGCAGAGTTTGTGATGGTACAGCGACGGAAAGCAAGTTACATACGGATTCACGCCCACGTACTCGATTCGAAACCTCTCCAAGAGCAGCTCGTTCCATTTTTGCTGTTACAAAATCACACAACAGACAAAAGGAGAGTTTGATTACCAATACCAATGTTTACTTAGGCTTGATCTTCAACTTCAACTTGCTTTTTTCCCCCGGTTGACCAAAGGCAGAATGGAAAACAAGTCAAAACATTCTTTTCGTACCTGCTTGAGAAATCCAACCCCAAATGCTCGTGTGACTTTGAGATACCCTTTCACCCTGTCGTTCATCACTGAATTCGGATCGTCGGGATGTTCTTTCTTGATCCTCTCTACTTCCTGAAAGCCAGCACGTACAGAAGAGGAGACCATTTCCGATTCAATTATACAAGCTCGCCAACAAAAGATGGAGATACAGAAAGCTGGTTTTCTCAATCGCTTTACCTTGTCTATGGAGGTGCTGTGATCCATGGTGAGCTGAAGGCAATTTAAGTTATGGAACCGGAAGAACTCATCGCCATCAATGTCTTCTGGGTCATAACCATTACTACTACACTCTTCGCTAATGATCCCCAAATCCTGGCTCTTCCTTCCGATGCTCTCTCCGCTCTGCGCCAAAACAGCCCGACTATCCCCCACGTTCATCAAGTAAACATCTTCCCCTTTCATCAGCATCACTAAAACACAAGACCCCATCAACGCCAGCTCTGGATTCTCGCCGGCCATCTTGTCCGCCACTTGGAAGTAGGCCTCCTCCGTTTTCCGAAGCGCTCTGGACAGCGCTCTCAGCACGTCGAAATGGTTCACGCCGCTTGTTTTCCCTTTCCATTTCCAGTCCCACGATTCCTCTGTTTCGGACTCTGTTTTCCCTTTCGGTTCAGCCCGCTCGTTCCACAGCAGCCCCTTCACCTCCTTGTGCACATTGTTGTAGAGATTGGAGAGCAAGTAATCGGGCGCGTCGGGCCCGTTAAATCCATCATAGATTCCCACGAAGACCCATCCGTGCTCCTCCGAGATCATGATGTGGACTCGATCCTCCCCTGCTTTCCCCTGCGCCCACTGCAGATTCTGGCTGCCTACGGACAACTCGCTCGGGTCGTCTTCCGGGTCGTCGCCGCAATTATTCGGATTCAAATTCTCTACACTTGCCGCGGAGACCGATTCTCCCGCTCTGCTTCCCCCTCTGATCGGAATTGTTGAAATCAGTTTCGGGGCCGCCCTGGAGATGGTATTCGAAAGAACTCTCTTCAGTTTCTTAATTAAACTTGTACCTTTCCTCTTGGGCTTGGTTTCAGTTTCTTCAACTCTGAAACTCCCGTGGGATAGGCTTCTCTGCAGCTGGCCGCTGCTCTGTTTCTGGGTTTCGTCCTCGATGGGGCCAGAGTAGATGCCGGCCCGATCAATCGGCCCGGAGCAGAACCCGCGCTCGATTGGACCCGACAAGAACCCGCGCTCGATTGGACCCGAACCCGGGACCAGGACGGCGGAAGACGGCCCCGAGAAGTGGAGGAGCTGGGTCCGCGGGACGGGTTGTAGAGGAATTGAAGCGAATGAATCGGAGCTCTCGAAAGTGGAGGCACGGTCCAAGCCGGAGCTGTAAGTGGAAGATTCGGTGAGGACGGTGGAGAGAGTTGTGGAAGTATTTGCGCTGACGGAGGCGCCGGAGATTGATCGGAAGGTGGTGGTCTCGTCGGAATAAAGCTTTGGGGCCGAAATCCGACCTGGGTCCGGCCGGATGTAGCAGAAAGAGTGGCCTAATCCTTCGTGGAGTGGATCGCCGAGGTGGACGACGATGTCGTGGCGGCGGGAGGAGATGTCGCCGGAGCTGGCGAAGCAGCTGCTCACCTTGGTAACGCCGTTTCCCATTCGGTCAGCTTTTCGAAGAAGAAACAGAGAGAGGATGGTGGGGGGGAAGAAGAGCAAAATCGGGGGAGATGATCAGCCGGAGAATGTAGAAAAGAAATAGAGAGAGTGTAGAGGAGGAGAAGAAGAAGAAGAAGGGGAGACATGGAGAGAGAAGGGAGTTGACTTTTGGAGGTGCTTGGCGTTAGCTTTTTTTGGGTTTATTTATTAATAAAGAAAAGTAAATTGGTTATTTTGTCTGCCGAGAACATATATTGTTTTTGTATTATTTGATTTATTTTCTATGTAAATGGGCGGGTGGGGATTGGAATTGGGGTTGGGTTGGGGGGTTTATCTTAGTTGGTTTTTATGGGAGGAGTTGACTAAGTGGCGGGGAATCGCGTGGGGAAGAAATAGTGCAATTAAAAAACACAGAGAAGATGTGGGAATCACAAAAAGTCAAATGGGGGGTTTCAGGCATGCTATGCTATCATTCAAATCAAATGTTGTCATTATTCTCATAAACCCCTCCCCCTTTCACCTTCAATTGGCCATCAACCCATCTTGACATCACATCTATACAAACAAATATTTCACTTAATAGAGATAATATTGAATTATAAATTATGGGAGAGAGATCAGATTCAGATAGATAGAAAGTTGTATCAACTCCATCCATATGTATTGCAGGGTAGAGATAGTTCAATCCATCCATATGATCCAGGTAAAATGTGACCCGGACCTAATTATACCATTTTCAGATATAGGTCAAGTATTCGAGTGTAGGATAGGGCAAACATTTTAATATCAACTTGAGGCGGTCTATGTACCCTACTTAAATTGTTTATATATTATCTAGCAAATGGTTTGTGGCGAAAGTTTCAAGAAACTACAATTGAACAAGCAAGCAAAGTTAGTTGTGGTGAATTCGATTTGAGAAAACTTCACCGGGATATTGTTCCCCCTAGTCTCGTGCCAAAGAATGGAACTCTAGTGCGAAGAGTGTGATTATATACCGTGAGGAGGATGCAATTAGTGGGTGTTATGAGACAATCCAAGTACCACATCGGTAATACAAGGGAAGGGACCCTTGTATATAAGTGTCCACCAAACTCATTAGTACGAGGCCTTTTGGGGAGGATACCCAAGAGTAAAACCTTGTGGGCTTAGCCCAAAGCGGACAATATCGTACTAATTGAGCACCCCGGTTATGACAAGTGGTATCAGAGCCTGGTTTGGCAGATCCAGGGCGGTGGACGTCAGTTTGGTGGTACCCTCATTCTATGACCTTAGGATTTGACAAGGACCATCGATACAAGGCGTCTGGCGGATCAAGATAATCGCTGAGGTGAGGACACAAAATTCGTGGTCCTTGTCTTGAGGGAAGGATTGTTATGGGACAATCCAAGTAACACATCGGTAATACAAGGGAAGGAACCCTTGTACATAAGTGTCCACCTAGCCCAATTAGTACGAGGCCTTTTGGGGAGGACACCCAAAGGTAAAACCGTGCGGGCTTGACCCAAAGCGGACAATATCGTACTAATGGGCTGCCGACTTATGACAAGTGGTATCAGAGCCTGGTTCGGCGGATCCAAGGCGGTGGACATCAGTTTGGTGGAACCTCATTCGGTGACCTCGGGATTTGCGATTCGCATATGTTTGGTGGATCAAGGAGAGATCCACGTTTGGGCTTGGTGGATCAAAGAGAGTTCTGCGTCTGGTAATAATTCTTGTACAGAGAAGCCCATCGATACAACGCGTCTGGCGGATCAAGATAATTGTTGAGGAGAGGACACGAAGTTCATGGTCCTTGTCTTGAGGGGAGGATTGTTATGGGACAATCCAAGTACCACGTCGATAATACAAGGGAAGGGACCCTTGTATATAAGTGTCCACATAGCCCTATTAGTACGAGGCCTTTTGGGGAGGACAACCAAGAGTAAAACCGTGCGGGCTTGGCCCAAAGCGGACAATATCGTACTAATGGGCTGGCCAGTGATGACAGTGGGGAAACCCAAACTCTCTTCATTGAGCAACTAAGGATTGTCACAATAAGCTATGAAACCTAGCTCTCTTAATCAGTCGACTAAGGATTGCAAAAACCAGTCCCTCGGGAATTAATCCAGAACGGCAAAAAGCAACCAATCACGATGAAATCATGGCGCTAATCCGATGTTTGAGGTTTGTCCTGATTTTCCCTAGAAGGGGTTATCCACATTGCCAAAATGACTATGAGGGGATTTCCTCCTTCTATGTCAAATTTACCCAACATTGAGACATGATAAACAACACTGAAGATTCATGAAAAATACCTCAAACATTATATTAATTACTAACCCAACACACATAGAGTTCAACTCTTACAATCTAACACATCCTAGACTAGGTTTTCCAATATCCAAGTGAAATAGGAGACTACTCCATAGCTAGGAAGGGAAATAGAACAAAGATGGAAGAAATACCCACAGTGAGATGATTCTCTTCCTTCTAGTTTCTTGAATCACCCTTTGGAGAAGAAATCTTCAACCATCTAGCCTTGGGTAAGCCAAATTCTTCTTCCTCCTCTTCTCGTCACTTTCTCTCTCTCTCTCATATATATATATATATATAATCGACGGTTATGATTCGTCCAAATATAGGCAAAAAAATCAATGCACCATCTTAGGGTTTATAGTTTATGATTTGGATAATTAGGACCTAGGGTTCACTCATTAAGGGTTAGGGTATAGTATCATGCCCAAAAATCCTGCTAATTCGAGGTCTAGATAGCGTTTTCATACTCAAGGTATGCGGTACCCCGGATTTCACCCGGGGTACCATAGAAGGCACCATATATATATATATATATATATATATATATATGGCAAAGGCTAGCGTACGCCAGTCATACACTGTACGCCTGTGTTCACACTTGGTTTTTGCACTTCAATATATTTCACTGAATCAGAACCGTCAGTTATTATTTTTTAGATTAAATGAATCTCGTGGCTTGGGTTAGAGAATTAGGGACTGGGGTTTATCCATTAGAGGTTATGGTATAATATCATGCCCAAAATTTTGATTAATTCCTACTCTAAATAGTAAAACTCAATGGGCGTACAATGTACGACTGACGTACGCTAGCCTGAACCATATATATATATATATATATATATATATATATATATATATATGGTTTAGGCTAGCGTACGCCCGGGCGTACGTTAGACTACCGTACGCCCGTTTGAGTTTTGCTATTTAGATCATGAATTAACTGGAGTTTTGGGCATGATACTATACCCTAACCACTAATGGATAAACTCCAGTCCCTAGTTTTCTAACCCAAATCATGAGATTCGTTTAATCTTGAAATGAAAATCAACAATAGTTTCGACGAATCAAAACCGTTGATTTTCATTTCAAGATTAAATGAATATTATGCTTTGGGTTAGTGAATTGCGGACTGGGGTTCACCCATTAGGGGTTAGGGTATAATATCATGCTCCAAACTCCGGTTAATTTATTGTCTAAATAGCAAAACTCAACGGGCGTACGGTAGGCTAGGGTACGTCCGGGCGTATGCTAGCCTTTGCCATATATATATATATATATATATATATATATATATATATATATATATATATATATATATATATATCTTGAAGAAGAAGACCAAAGTCTCTCTCTAGAACTCCCCCTGAAGGGTTCAACATTCTCTCCTTTATATACTCCAGTCGGGCTCGTTTCACGATCAGAAATCATGCTCGTAATGTCGAACGCTTGATCGTGATCTCAGTGTAAAACACGCCATTTTACTTACACAAAGTTATTGCCCGAGCTTCATCTCCACGGTCTGTTAACCGTGATAACATCCCACAGAATGTGATCTCTGCCTTTTGTGCATCCTTGCTCCATTTTTGCCCTCTTTCATTCAGCTTTTGATCCTAGAGCTAATTCCACCTGCTGAGATATGAAACATGCTAAAACGCACACAAAGTTAGCGTAAAATTGCTCTTCAGAAGATGCAAATACCACAAACATCTCAAGATTAGGGATGTCAATCCAACCCGTAACCATGGGTACCCTACCCGACCGTAACCGGTTAACGAGGGTAATTACCCGCTTTGACGGGTTAAGGGGCGGGTACGGGTAATACCCAGTTTCAAAATAAAGGGTAGGGTACGGGTATGGTAAGCGATAATACCCGCCCCGTTATACCCGCCCCGTTATACCCGCCCCGCTAACCAAAGGATCAATTTCCCTTGATAAATTTATTTTAGCTTGAGAAATTGAGTTTAGCTACCGTTATTGATGATGAAGATGTAGACAATTATTATGTTTGTGTGGATTGTAGAAGAAAGAACAATTATTATGTGTTTGTTGTTTTTATTTGTGTGGATTGTTGAAGTTAGAATAGTTACAAGTATTGAGAATTTTTAATGGACAAGAGTATGTATGTGTATATGTGTATAAGTTCATAGTTTATGATTCGTACCCATGGTTACCCGAATACCTGTGGTTACCCGGTGGGTAGGGTATGGTTATATAATTTTCATACCCGATGGTTATTTGGTCGGGTATTTTAGAAAGCTCTATCCGGCAGGTTAGGAGTTGGTATAAGGTAAACCCGCACCCGACCCTACCCATTGCCATCCCTACTCAAGAGAAAGGTGTACAAATATGTGCAGTTACACCCAAATTAACATGCCAATACAAAAAAAGAAAAAAAAACTTACACATCCTCAAAGTGCAAATTGAATTTAGATAACCCTTCAACGAATTCACTAAGCACTATGCCCATTTGGTTATCAATGACCGAAAAACATGAGCTTTCTACATCAAGTTGATGATAAAATACATGGACTTGCCACAACACATGATGCACTCTTTTTCATTCAGAGCACATTCAAAAAATATAGCACCTTTTGGAAAAACTTTTTGATTCCAAGATGGAATGGAATCCAACATATCGCTTATCATCACTAGTCAAGAGTATCAACCAACCAATGAGGAAGTGGAGGCCAAATTTCTCATGTACCAACATCCTCCGTATCTCTACACTATCCTCCAGAGAAT